CAGAGAGTACCAGAGCTAATAATCGTGGGACAAAGACCACAAGGAAGACTTAGAAAATGGTGGTTTGAGATGCTGAAGGAGGACATGGAAAAGGTTGGTGTCAACTTGGAATACCCACTGGACAAGAATGCTTGGAGACCAAGAATGAGAGCCACCGACCCTGATGGTTGGGACATGATGAAGGCAAGGAAGCAGCAGCATATAACAATTTGCATTCAGCCACTTCATTGCTGTCAGACAGCCTGCAAGAAAGGCTGAGGGGCAAGTTTTGAAATGATAACTAGCTCCTTTCATCAGTAGATCTTAAAGCACATGACAAAGGAGGCCAGTATGGGGAAACTGAGGCACAGAGAGGCAAAGTGACTTGTCCAACGTCAACCACCAGGTCAGAGCCAGAAATAGAAACCAGATCTCTTGAGTTCCTAGTCTGGTGCACTATCCACTAAACCCCACTGCCTCCCAATGAGCTCTATTTCTATTTAGCCTCCTAAATGTAGCAACCAGGTTTTGCTTAGCAGCCATCAGCTTCGAGAGCAGGATGAAATCAGTGGCATTGCTTTGCCCCGTTGTGATTGGTCTCTCTGAGTTCACAGCTTTGGCAGGAGAAAGGACAACAAAGATGGCAGCAAAAATTAGCAAGGCCATAAAATATAAGCCTGATGCTCTAAAACCAACAGACTATCAGAACTTGGCGGGAGAGAAAGCATTCCGTCTTTCTATCTGATGCACAGTTACCATCCGTGAAAGGTCACCATTCACCAGCAGCCGCCGTGCTGTGGTATTTGAGATTGAACCTGTCAACTATTTAGACATATGCCCTTCAGGGCAGGGACCATCAAGAATAGAGCTGAGCAAATACTGATTTTCCAGTTTGATGGACAAACTGAAAAATAAAATAAAAATCACTTCCTTTCAAACCAAAAATGAAATTTTCTTGGGTTTTCTTACCAGCACAAAACAAAAATGAACAAAATTCATTTCAGGTTGAATGAAATGTTTCATTTGACCCAAAACAAATTTTTGTTGTTGTTTTTTTATTCTGTTTCGTTACTTTTTGGGTGCTTTTTACCCTTTTTTAAAAAAAATTAAACAAATGGAGTGAAATTTAGAAATGAATCATGTTGAAATGAAAAGTCAAAACATTTTGTTTCAAAAATGTCTAAATGAACCATTTTAATTCTGTCGAGGGGGGAGGAGGTTTCCCCTATTTTTTTATTCGTCCGAAACTATTCGTCAAATTCAACTAGAATTCCCAAATAGTTTCATTTGGGGGCAACTTTATTATTTGACCAAAAATAATTGCCCCATTCTAGTCACACCTGTAGGTCAGTAAAACATGTAACACAGTGGGTTCCCGATCTCAGCTGAGGCTCCCAAATGCTAGCGTAATACAAGTGCTAATAAAGACATGGGATACCGCTGTTCCCCCATACGAAGAGTAGGAAATAACTGAGGGACCTTAGGTCCCATTGTGTGGTTACTGTTGACCAAGCTGATTTTGTCAATTCAGAATTAGACTGGCTGCTGTCTCCAGGACCCCAACCAGACCCCCTTTCTCTTGGCTGTAGAAATTCCTGTTCCCAGTGAATGATTGGACCGGGTAGCTCACTTCTGCCTGAGTGGCACTTTGCATCTGCGACAGTCACACATAAAACACAGACTGGCTTTTTATTCCCACTTGTAATGGATTCTGCATGCGCCCTGCATCATCTCCGACCCTGCTCCCATGGAGGTCAATCGGAGTTTTGACACCAGTTTCAAAGAGAACACATGGTGCTTCTTTGTGTACTTGCGTTGTTTTGACTAAAGGATGTTTATGGGAATATGCGCCTTTTCCAGACATATTGCCTAGCTTGCGCTTTTAGCACCTCAAGCTAAACAAACAGCAGAAGATCATCTGTCTAGACAGCTGGGCAACACAGCCTCTTCTATCCCAGTTGCTGACATGCTCGGAGCTGTAATGTGGCTACCGTAGGAAAGCAATGCAGCTCCTTGCCAGGGTGCCTTTCATTCATAACATTATTCATAAATTATGAGGTGTGAGAACCCTGGTTATGGCAGAAAACAAGATCTATACGGAGTGAGAAATATCGAAGAGAGCGTCACTCTTCGTTAGCTCTGCCCTCTGCTCTACGGATTAGCGCCCCAACGCTGTGCTTTCAGGCTCCTGGGATCAGCCCATCCAGCCATGAGGCCAGTGGGTGATCTTCTCAGCACCCATGCCCAGAGGCCTGTAGGCCCCTTAGCAGAGTCCAAATAAACACATATGGGGATGTTACAAAACTAAGGCAACCTGCCCTGCTAGAACAGAGCTGGGCACTGTTAGAATATTCCCACTCACTGAGGAATAGCTCATTTATTCCAGCGCTTCCCCAGCTGACGTGTGCCCATGTTCCCAATGAGGAGAGGAACTCCCAGTTTACATTTCCTGCCTTGGTTGGGGTTGCCCTGGCCCAGGACCATCTTGCAGTATGGAGCATCTGTTAAATGCAAAGCCGTCGAGGCCTTTCGTACAGCAACGTTCCCAAACAGGAAAGAGCTGGGCCAGAGAAACTGAAGGCTTCCAGTGTCAGGGGATCAAGACACAGTGTGCCAGGGCCTGAGAGCAGAAGAAGACTCGATGGGTTTATGAGACTGTAAAGTGCAAGGGAGGAAATATTTTCCACCCCACTCTGGGTGTTTTCTTGCCAGACTCCAGAGCAGCAGTGATATTTTAATGCTTGGGCAAACAGATGAAAAGTTTTTTCCAAGGCTTCCTGAAACCAAGAAGGCCACAGAATCTGTCGGGAGGTGCTGAAGGCAGCACGTTATTTATCATCATTATTATTATTATTAAATAATACTCTTGGCTAAATGTTACAAAGGGTTTAGGGACTTGAAGATGCAGGCAGGTACCCTAGTGGGATGGTCAAAAGTTCCTAAGCAGGTTAGGTGCCTATTGGGTTGGGTCCCTAAGGTGTTTAGGCCCTTTACTAAATCCCATTAGGTGAGTATCTGCATCTCTAGGCAATTAAATACCTTTGTAAGTCTGGCCCTATGTTCCCTTGGCCATGGCCTCTGCAACCAGCAATGGTTGCTTCTTGCATTGTGCAGCCACCCCCATCCACAACCTCCCCACCCCACTGCCCTCACGTGGAGGAGCCCATCTCTGCAGATCTAGCCCTAGGGGCTTGGCTGAAGAGTCTCCCCGAGACCTACAAGGCAGGAAACGTGGGCTGTGGTGAGATGCTCCCAAGCAGGGGTGCTGAGAACCCCCACAAGGGATCCAAGCCAGGGTGTGCAGCCATGGCAGCCCCTCAGCTGGTGCTGTGCATTGTGGTGGTGCAATGGGAGAACTCACCCTGGTTTTGGTGTTTCCATAGCTAAGGATTAGCAGCAATCAACTGGGTTATTTGGGGCCAGATGCCATTGATATGTGAGGGGCAATGGAGAAAAGCAGGTCTTGGATTAGACCACAGGCACCTGATTCTTACACCAGGAATAGACCTGGCCCTCAGGGTGCGAACATAGAGACTACAGCTGCATTCTATCACACACACACACACACCCCAGCCCCCCATACACACAAACACACTCCCTCTCAGGTGCTGCTCCAGCCAGCACGGGAGTCTCTTTCTGCTCCTCCAAGACAGCCAACGAGTTGTGGTCAGGGTGCAGTTGCAGAGGAGCACACAGCAAGCCAGACTCGGAGGTTATTTATACCTGTGTGCAACCAAGACCGATCCAACCAGCTTCATATTTACAGTGGCCCAGCTGAGATCAGAACCCACTGGCTCACGGAGTTGCCCAACTTCAAAACCCGCAAAGGTTTTCGTTGGCAAAATTCAGCAGGACCAACTCCAAAATGGTCAAAAATGGGGAGCCGGGCCCCAAAACATTGTGAGATTTTAAATAAATAAACAAACTTTGGGATCTTTGTCTTTACCTTCCAGTTTGAGTCTTTAGGTTACTATCGTTATTAATGCGTATTACCGTAGCACATAGGCATGGGTCAAGACCCCACCATATTTAGATGGTCAGCTCTTTGGGCAGGGACCACCTTTTGTATCATCCTGTCCCAAGACTAGGGCACCTAGATGCTCCAGGCGTACAACAATAACAGTTGTGCTAGGTGCTGTACAAAGGCAGAACAAAAAGACAGACCCTGCCCCATGGAGCTGACACTCCTGGGTCACATTTTCAGGCTTTTCTCTGCTACCAAGAGGGCTAGGAACATCCACTTTCTTTTTAAGGCAAGCTGAGATGCCCATGTAATCGCATGATTCTGGGACCTGGGGCTTTAATTAAAACATCAAATATTGTGAGACTCGTTTTTAAAATGGTGAGGGGCTGGCTTCCCTGCCAACCCAACAGCCTTCTCCAGGGGCATGCACCCTCTACCCGCAACACAAAGGGCAAGCAAGACCGCAACATCCCTTTTAATCATGCAGGTTGATCTCACAAACACAGGCAGTGGGAGAGGGTTCGAAGAGCCACGAGAATGATTAAAGAGTTGGAGAACCTGCCTTATGATGAGAGACTCAAGGAGTTCAATCTATTTCGCTTAACAAAGAGAAGGTTCAGGGGTGATTTGATCAGTCTGTGAGTACCTACATGGTGAGAAAATATTTAATAACAGGCTCTTCAGTCTAACAGACAAAGGTGTAAAACGTCCAATGGCTGGAAGTTGAAGCTAGATAAATTCAGACTCGAAATAAGATGTAAATTTTTAAGAGTAATGATAACTTACCAAGGATCATGGTGTGGTTCTCCAACATGGGCGACTGCTAAATCAAGACAGGATGTTTTTCTAGAAGATCTGCTCTAGTTCAAACAGGAATTAACTCAGGGCAGGTCTGTGGCCTGTTCTAAGCAGGAGGTCGGACTGGATGATCACAGTGCTCCCTTCTGGCCTTGTAACCTTTGAAAAGCTCCCGGCACCGGCCTGGCACTGACCTTGTGTCCCTGCAGTGTTCTGTTCTGTTCTGAGCTCATTTTCCGTTTTTCCTTTTCCTGCCTAGATGACCTGGACATAGACGACTTCCAGCTGGAGTTTGAGGAGTCAAAGTTGCACCCCACCATCCAGTGCACACCCAGCCCTGGTGAGCAGCAAGCTGAGGGGAGACCCCTCCTCTAAAGCACAGAAATAAGACTCGAGGCTCTTCTAATGCAGCTGACTCCCACGGCCTTTCCCCTACATCCCACCATTCGCTACATACACACGTAGACCAGAATCCAGGCTGGGTCCTGGGGGCAGCAGTGGGATTCCTCTTTCCCAGGCTGAAGCCATGGAGCTAGTGCCCTCCCAGGTGGAGAGGGAGGACTCATGGCAGCCCCATCCTTCTACAGAGCTCTTCCCACTTCCAGCCTTTCCCTGCACTAGGGCCCATGCCTAGGAAGGCTGTATGTCCTAGCAGAAGAGGGGACTGGATTGGCCCCATCACACACTAGCATAGGAAACTGCAGGCCAAACCACCTACCCTGGTACCACACAGAGCAGCCAGTGCTTCACATGTTCACCCAAGGCTCCCGCACATGTGGGTTGCTTTGCAGAAGCTAGTCTTGAACTTCCAGGGGGAAATTCCTTCCCAGCCCCAAATATGGCGATCAGTTAGACCCTGAGCATGTGGGCAAGACCCACCAGGCAGACACCTGGGAAAGAATCCTCTGTAGTAACTCAGTGTCCCGTCTCTGGCTGGTGGAGATATTTGCTGCTAGCCATCGCAGACCGGCTCCATGCCATTGTAGACAGTCTCATCACACCATCCCTTCCATAAACTTATGAATTCAGAGTAAAGGGCTGACATTCAAGCCACACATCCCAGGCCATGCACACAGATGCCAGCACAGCCCTCCCCGCTTCTGCACTCCCTGACCTGCTCAGCAATGTTCACCTCCTCCTTATACACAGTGTGCTCTTATCCACTGGGCAGCACCAGAGCTCCTTAGACAGCTGGGGGGAGAGGACATTGGGGCAGACCTCAGGGGTAACACTGGAAGCACAGGGCCCTTGGAACGTCTCCTGGGTCAGAGGTGCCCTCGAGCGGGTCTAGGGCATTTGTTCTGACCCACTTCTGCTTGGTAGCGCTGAACAGGAGTGGGACCGGCTGGGTCAAGCCCTGGCTGGGATCAGGCCGACGTGCCGTATCAGCGACGCGACAGTAGGGTCGATGATGTTGGGCCTCGTTTCCTTGCAGGTCCCTTCAAGCCTTGCAATCAGTTGTTTGAGAGCTGGATCATCCGCCTGGGGGTCTGGGCCATCGCGCTGGTCTCAGTGCTCTGCAATGGGCTGGTCAGCCTGGCCGTCTTCGCCTCGCCCAGCTACCTCTCGCCAGTCAAGTTCGTCATCGGCTCCATAGCCGGGGCCAATATGCTGACGGGCGTCTACTGCAGCATGCTGGCTGTCGTCGACGCCCTGACCTACGGACAGTTTGCCAAGTACGGGGCCAGGTGGGAGACGGGGGCGGGCTGCAGGGCCACGGGCTTCCTGTCCGTCTTCGCCTCAGAGGCCGCCATCCTCCTGCTGACGCTGGCCACCGTGCAGTGCAGCGTTTCAGTCTCCTGCTTCCGGCTGTGTGGGAAGTCACCTTCCTTCATTAGCGTCAAAGCCGCCACGCTGGGCTGCCTGATGCTGTCCTGTGCAGCGGCAGCCTTGCCGCTCTTCTCCGTGGGGGAGTATGGTGCGTCCCCGCTCTGCCTCCCGTCCCCCGTCCCCGACGGGGAATCCTCCACCCTGGGCTTCATGGTGGCCCTGGTGATGGGGAACACCCTCTGCTTCCTGATCATCACGGGCACCTACATCCGGCTCTACTGCAGCCTGCTGAAAGGGGAGTTCGACACCCTCTGGGACTGTGCCATGATCAAGCATGTGGCCTGGCTGATCTTCACCAACTGTCTCCTCTACTGCCCAGTAGCCTTCCTCACCTTCTCCTCCATGCTCAACCTCTTCCTCATCACCCCAGAGGTCATCAAGTCGGTCCTGCTGGTGGTGCTGCCCTTACCTGCCTGCTTGAACCCCCTGCTTTATCTGCTCTTCAACCCCCACTTCCGAGACGACCTGCGCCTGCTTCGGCACAGGGGCCAGACCAAGGGCAGCTGCCCCCAGTCGTACGCCTCAGATGACACGGAGAAGAGCTCATACGACTCCACCCAGGCTCTAGTGACCTTCTCGGACGCCGATCACATATTTGAGGTGCCCGACGCCTTGGGTGTGCACCCGGTCCTGGATGCCTACAGCTTCCCCTCGGTGACGCTCATCCCCTGCCAGCAGAGGATGGGTGCCAAGGGGCAAGAGAGTGGCTACTCTGCCCGCCACCCCTGCCTGACCGACGACGAGCTGCTGATTTCCTCGGAAAGCAGGGATCCAGCCAGCAGTGGCCTTCGGGTCAGCTTCTTCCCCTCTCTGCCCGCACCGTCCTTCACGTCTCACTTATAAACACCCCGCAACCGGCCACGCAGGCAGCCCCTCATCAAATGAGCCAAACAAGAGCTCCCCCAGCCTTGGGGGGACGAGACGCAGGCTGATCTACGTCAGGCATCGACATGCCCCCATCGCATCATAACCCTGGGCAACAGGCAGAGCAATGCCTGGCAGCGCAGCCTAGTCACCATCCCAAGAGCTCAGGGCTTTCATGGCAGGATACAAGTGCACGAACGCACAAAGAAACACTGTGTCCCCTCTGCCCCTGCATAACAGGGGACCCCCTGAGCCCAGAAAGAGAGCGAGAGAGACTCCCCATCCTGGGATTTCCCTAGACAGACTCCTAGCATACCAAGTCACAGAGCAGGAAGGACCTGCAGGTAAGGAACCAAAATGCTTCTAGTCCAGGGAGATTCCTCCCCCCCACAAGGGAGTTACCCCCTAGCCTCTGTGGTGGAGCCGGAGCTCTTGCCAAGCTTGCTGCCCTCTGACCCTACAAGCTGTGATGCTGGCCCACACTTAGTCCTGCTGGTCGCGTGTTCTGGAAGAGGATGGGTGAGGGAGTGGAGCAGGTGGGAGTGAAGTGGCACCAGGCAGCACCCACAGCAGTGGCAGCAAAAACCCATTGCAACCCCACGGCAGGTGGGAGAATCCTCAGGCTTCGCACCTCGCAGGACACTTTACAGACACCCTCCGGTGAGCGCCGCCGTGCCCTGGGAGGGGAGTCAGAACTCTGCCTTCCCCGTTACGCAGCTGGGGAAACCAAGGGAGGGGATGAAGGGCAACGTTTTCAAAAGCGGCCGTTAATTTGGGGCCTTGCATTTGCCTTTCTCCAGGGCCTACTAGAGGAGACAACCACCCTTCCACAGTGCCAGCCTTCCAGCGGCACTCTCACAGCCCTTTGACCCCTTCCCACTGGAACTAATAACAAATAGGGCCGTCTGCTCCCCTGCCAGGCGGGATCTGCAGGCAAGTAGCTGACCCGTCACAGGCATGGCTGAGCCCGACTCCCTTTAAAGGGCTAGGACAGCTTTGTGATTGCTTACTCTAGCGTCCAGATCCTCAAAGGCACGTAGGCAGCTAACTCTCATTGGTCTCAATGGGCAGTAGGCCCCCTAAATACATTTGAGGCTCTGGGCCTCCGTGCTTCTATGGATAAACCCTTCCAGATCTTTTTTCCCCAGTTCTTTATTAGCCGAAATATGCATCCTCTCCCACTCTCCGGGCTGCCTGCCATTTGTTCTCCTGAATCAGTGTTAACATGATCAGCCACCATGCTCTGGGATATTGTCTTACTGGAGGTGTTAGTCTGCGTCAAGCACAGTCTGCTTTTAAAGGACACCAGATTAATATCATTCTGATCATTTATTTTTAACATTAATTCTACCCTATATCAAATACAAACCATGGACACATCCATCTGTCACATGCCTGTACTAAGAGAAACTCTGAATTGGATGTAATGCCTTTAATACACCATGTATATGTTATTGTATGTATATATGATGCCATATATAATATCCAGCATGCGTGCGTGTGTATATTATGTGTATATTTATATATAACCAGTTTCCCTGCCCTGCTGACCATTCCTTCACCCTGTTTGTGTATATGAACTGTAAAGCATCCTGTATGAAAGACGCTATAGAAAAATAAATTGTAATTTTAAAATAAGTTTAAAGTGCTGCAGTTTTCCCACAGAACAGGGTTAAAAAACCATGACTGGTTGGTTAGGTATCATTAACATTAGCATCTCAGCAAATAAGCTTTTGGGGGTACAGAAGAGAAGGCAAAACCAACACCGTCTGAGACAGAACCCTTTGGACTTGGCCAACTCCATTTTGCGTCTGTGATCTGGATGTAATATAGACAAGGCCCGAGAGCCAAACTGGGCTCACTCTGTGCATCTAATAAAGCTTCTGCATTCTGTAACACAGGCAAGCCCTGGAGTGAGCGAGGCTGGCAGTAGGAAAAAAACATCCTGCCAGCCTCACTCACTGAACCCATTTGCTCTGGATTCATTGACGCAGAGATCCCCAAGGCAGTTCGGAGTAGAACCACCTTTTAATTGTTCAGTAGGACTTCGTGCATGAGCAAGCACTCAAGTGAGGGGAGGTAACCGACTTCCACACATTCGTGTCACTCACTACCTCAGAATTGGTGCAGGCTGGGCTGTGCCCTGTCCCCCACCTTCAGTCCCTACTGGAGAAGCAAACTCCTGTTGAGCTGTGTAGGAAATATTTGGATGCAACTATTACTAGTACTCTGTTTGGGGGTGAGGGCAAGGGGGTCACTGAAGCAAAGGCTTTGGGCCCCCTGCTGCCTATACTCCGAGCCTGCATGGAGGGGCTGGAGGGGCTCCCTGCAGCTTCTGGGAGAGCAAAGGCCTAAGAATTTAACATGTTCAAGTCCCAGCTTCACTGCTGAGTTTCAGGTAGGCAAAGACATGAAGGTTAGGCCTAGAAGTTAACAGACTAGTTCCAGGCAACTGTTCTCTTTTAAAAATCCAGTCTCATTCAACTCTCTCCTCAGAGGATAAGTTGACTTTGAAGGCCCTGCCCAACCTCTCCTCCGCCACTCACTCCGTTCCTCCATGTGCCTGTCACTGCCTCATCTCTTTGCACTCAGCCCCGGCTGCTGCAAGCACCCCTCCTTTCTCCATCGAGCTCCCATTCATTTCAACAGGAGGCGTTGCAGAATTAGGCCCATGGATTCACATTTCCCTTCATGCTGCCCCTGTGCATGAAACAGCCTTCCACCTCTTCTGTCCTTCCGTGCATACTCTCCTCCCCCAGATTCTCTCTGTCCTGTGTTGCCAGAGAAGGGAACCTGTTTTCTCTGGGGTGGGTGAAGCGCTAGGTCGAGTTACAGAATTAGCATACAGAAACAACATTCCGCACTTACTAGCCTTTTTGTTCTGTGTTTGTACAGTGCCTAGCACAGTGAGTTTTGCTCCATGACTAGGGCTCCTGGAAATTATGGTAATACAGAAGCAATAGCACAAAGACACAAGAATTGCACATTCATCCACTTCAGAGAAACCCCCTTGTGGGCAATGACACTATAATGAAGCATCTAGTACAGTGGTCCCTAAACTTTTTGGGAGCTGGGGATACAGCTCCCGTGGAGGGGGAAGAGGGCACAGACGGGTAAGGGGGCCACAGCTGGGGGCAAGGCTAAGGCTGGGGGCAGGGCCAGGAGCGGAGTTGCAGCCAAGTGTGCAGGAGCTGGGGCCAGAGCAGAGCTGGGGCAGTTCCCTCCCTCTCTCTGTGGGGGCTGGCCTGGGCCTCGCCATATCCCCCCAAACATGCCTTCACGGCCCACTAGTACCTACAGATACCTACAGTATCATCAAAAACAGGATAATGAACTAGATGAGTCTGATCCAGTGTGGCAGATTCCATGTTCCTATTCATAAAGGCTATTAGCCAAGTCAATTTAACATGTATGTCCTGCCTAAATATGTAATTTTCTAAGAGCTGTGGCTCTTGTCTCTAAGGCCTGGCCTACACCAGGAAGTTAGGTCGGTATAATTTACATTGATCAGGGCTGTGAAAAATCCACACCCGAGACATAGTTAAACCGACCTAACCCCTGATGTAGACAGCGCTAGGCTGACGGGAGAATTCTCTTGCTGCCCGAGTTACTGACTCTCGGCAAAGTGGTTTACCTGCCCCAACGGCCGAACACATGCCATTGGCAAAGGAAGCATCTTCTCTGAAGCACTGCAATTGGCGGGGGGGATAGCTCAGTGGTTTGAGCACTGGCCTGCTAAACCCAGGGTTGAGAGTTCAATCCTTGAGGGGGCCATTTAGGGATCTGGGGCAAAAATTGGGGATTGGTCCTGCTTTGACCAGGGGGTGGGACTAGATGACCTCCTGAGGTCCATTCCAACCCTGATATTCTATGAATTGAGCCACTACAATATTTTAAGTGCAGACAAGCCCGAATATAAGCTAGTGACAAAGCGCTTCCATTCACTAAACTACCGCTTAGTTCAGATTTAGTTTAACGGCCCACTTCAGGGGTGGTGTAAAATGGACATTTTCAGGACTTTGCCAGAAGTGCTCAGCACCCATAACTCCAACTGAAATCAACAGGATCGCAGTACCTCTGAAAGTCAGACTTCTTCCACGAACAGACTCCTTTGCACCCACACGCTAGTGCATAAGGGAACTGAAGCTGGTGAAACTTACACATGTTGGGAAGTCAGAAGGAAGTGAGGAATAGCAGTTGCTGCTTTAAATTACAATTTCTCACGTAGCCCAGGTAGTTGTGTTTCTTGCTATGCTCTCAGGCTTTTTCAGCCCCTCAGGTTTCAAGATTACCAAACTTTAGATTCCTTTACATTCAATGGCCAAACGCAGACTTGAGGTGTAAGGTACAAGTTGGTGAGTGGATGCAAATCTGCACTAAGGGACTGGAAGGTATAAATGACACCAGTTTAAGCCTCCCCCTAGACTCCGCTCCAGTTTGGGCTGCAAAACGTTAAGCCATCTGCTCAGCTTGTGGAACTCTGATTTATGAGCTGGTTGCTGATTGCACAGGTGGGAAGATGGCTGGGGAAAGGGGGAGATACAGAGTATGCAATATGTCCACACTCACGTATCATTGACTATTCTTACTCCAACAAGGGAAACCGAAGTGTCTGCTACAGGCAGGTGTGCTGATGTCTCAATTGTGGCGGGAAACACCAAAATATTACTTACAAATTCAAATACATCCTTTAATTATGTGCTCCAATTTCTACTCTGTCATCAACCACAAAAACAAAAAAGCCAGACTGGCCATATACTGTCCATGGGCAATGTTAAGCAATTTCTCATTCACACAATAACCATCATCACAAGAGAACTCTAATACATATAAGACTGATTTATTATTCCCAATTCTGCCTTCCTTCACAATACTTAGGCACAAACAATGCAAGACAAACAAGAATACAAAACATGTAATGCTACTGAAATAAAATTAAAAAAACTTTAATTTGAAAACAAACCCCCTGCCATCGCAAGTATTAGGTCAAGCAGGAGACAAGTGAAACCTGCCATTGTTACGCATTCATAAAAATGTTTATTTACACAGAAAACCTCTATGAATCGAGGCAGGGTTTTTTCCCCTTCCTGCTCATATCATTTCCTTTCCTTTTCTGGGAGATGGCAGATTCTTTGGGAGTGCTAGCTTCACATTGGGTCACTTCCTCATCTGGAGTTTTGGAAGCCTGGTACATAAGAGACACAAATGATTCAAACAAAGGTTACCTTTCTTTTCTGTAACATTCACAGTCAGTTTGGAAGATCAAGTCTGCCCTAGAAGGAGTGTGCGCTTCCTGGAGACACACTAGCACTTCCTCTTAGAAAATTACTGCCAGACTTACACATTTATAACACAGTGTGTGGGGGGAAATATCTCAAAGCACTTCAGACTACGGTATGCAAATCCAACCCTAAAAGTGTATAAATTGACCAATTTAGGCTGAAAATTAGAAGGTTTCTAGCCATCAGAGAAGTGAGTTCTGGAACAGCCTCCCAAAAGGTTCTTCACCCCCATTGCTCCTAGCTAATGTTAAGACAGAGTCTGATAAATTTATGACCCACGTTATTTGATGGGGTTGACTGTGATAGCAGGGACTGGACTTGATGAGCCAGGAGGTCCCATCCACTCTTACGTTTCCTTCTGCCACTCTGGAACTTTCCCAAAATTCAGGAAGTCTGAAGAGTTAGAGTGAAGGAAAAAATGGAAAAATTTTGGGGGGCGGGGGGGAAGGGAGGGAGAAATCAAACCCTAGACATTCATTCTACTACATTTAATTGCAAACAAAAGATAGAAAAGAAAAATATCAAAAAAATTCAAAAAATTGGTTTTCAAAAACCAAAATGAAAAATTTCAATTAAATAGTTTTGAAATTTTCATTAAAAAAAATAATCAAGAAATGTGCCAAAAAACCATATTCCTATGAAAATGTCAACCAGCCCCAGTTAACTAGGTCTTCATTTAAAGTACCATCACTGGCATCTGGGTCATTACCCATGAGACAAATGGGGCAGCTCACATTTGAGACCTATTTGTTTCTCACTCAGGCAGATGGTCACACTTGGGTCACATTTTCAAGGTTGTTTCCCCCCCACAGCCATAACAAGGTTACGTCTACACTAGAAACGCTACAGTGGCGTAGCTGTAGTGTAGAGACTTGCTACAGTGATGGAACGGGTTCTTCTGTCACTGTAGTAAATTCACCTCTCTGGGAGGCTGTAGCTAGGTGGATAGAAGAATTATTTTGTCAACCTAGCACTGTCTACCCTGGCGATTACGCCACCTTAACTACGTCTCTCAGAGGTGTGAATTTTTCACATCCCTGAGTGACATAGCTGGGTCAACCTAACTTTCTAGTGTAGACCTATCCTAAGTTCCCCTCCTCCCCTTTAATTACATGATCACATACACATGGAAATTTCCAGTACATGCATCTGACGAAGTGGGTATTCACCCACGAAAGCTTATGCTCCAATAGGTCTGTTAGTCTATAAGGTGCCACAGGACTCTTTGCTGCTTTTACATGATAACATACTATTTTTCCTGAGGACTCCCATCTCATTCAGTGCACAAGATGGACAGTGTTCAGAGAACAAATCAGGTT